TTTATATGTCCCTACTCACGGCTGTGTACCGAGTATACAATATGGTCATAACATTCTATTTTGGCAGGGACTTGTTAAACCCTGAGGTCTCATTATCTGCCGTTTACTCCTCTTACATGATTCCAGCTGTTTGCTGGCCAAAGAGGGCCGGATGTGACTCCGTCTGGATCCTGTTCAGTATTGTTTATGAGTCAGCTGCAGGGCAATGCATGATTCCCTTGGCCTGTGCATGATGTCTCTGCAGGATGCAGAGTCCTTGTTGGTCTGAGAACTTTGAACAAATCCCAGTTTTCAACACATACCATTATATGGTAGTTTTGTGTACCACTAAACCATCATTGTGGTTTCAAAGGCCTTGTCTTCACTAGGAAAAAGGTGTATTCTTAACTCAAGTTAACTAACATGAGGTAAAATTATATTGAAGGCAGTTTGTAGTTTATACATGAGTTAGCAGGTGAAGATGAAGACTGTGGGAAAGCCTGTAATTTACCTTGACCTGCTGATTCATGTGAGAACTACGAACTGTCTTGTCTTCAATAAGATTTTACCTTGTGCTAGTTAACTCAAGTGAAGAACTCTCCTTTTTTGCTAATGCGGATGCACCCAAAAAGCACGTTCTTTAAAGGATAGAATAAGTCGCTGTCTCGTTATCACTGACCTATTTGTAATATTTCTTTATTTGGATCAGAAATCTAAAATCTGAAACTTAGTTTTATAATAAAAATGAAAAAGGTTGTCTTTAAAAGTATAATTTAGTTGTTTCTTGCTAAAATAAAAAAGATTTATGCTGCTCCTGGATATAATTATTTTGTTGGCAAAGCCTCTGAATGGCTTCTCCATTTTATTTCTGCACCTGCCAGCTCTCTCCTTATATCAACATTCTAGTAAAACACATAAACATCTTTAAAAAATGAACATTATAACTAGAGCCCTGTGAAATTCTTTTTATTTTTTATCATTTTTTGTGAATTTCTGTTTTGTTTTATTCAATAAAATGTTGTTTTATTTCTTTTTATTACATTTATATTAATAAAGTACGTCACATGACCATATATAAATCAAAACAGTATAAATCCCAGTTTATCTATACAACATCATTTATTAACATTACTCGTTATTCTATGCCTTGAGAAACTCACCAACCCCCACGACAGTTAGTCACCCCAAAATACCTCAGACAGCTCCTTAGGGTTCCCCCCTTGAAATTTACCTAGTACTACAGCTTCCAAATAACTCCCACTTCTCCATGCCCACTCAGAGACACAAACCTCATGGAACACCCTGGATCTTCCCAACCCCTATGACTTCCTTCACCAGTCCCCCCACCCCCATCCCCCTCTGTATCCCCAGGTTTCTCTATGTCCCCTTATATATTCCCTCTCTCACATTGAACCTCAGTCTCCCCAAGCCCCAGAAACCCCTCCCCATCACCCCTTAAATATTCCCCCTCCCCCACTGTGCACCATAACGCCATCCCCCATTAGTCCCAGGGACACCTCTCCTATCCTCCTCCCCCATTGAGCCCCAACCCTCCCCCCATTAGCCTCTCTTCCATGAGAAAGTCAAGGTCCTGCCCCTGAGGGGTGGGAGGCCCTGCGGGAGAAACTATAGAGTAAGCCAGCCCCATATTCACACTGGAACAGCAGCTCCTGTTCTGCAGGGCAGGACCCGGCTCCCCACTCCAGCTGGCCCTTGAGGTTACAGTACACTCAGGTTTGGCTCCTCTGTCTTGATGAGAGGGGGCAACTGGGCCAAATTTGAGTGAGTGGCACTGCAATTCCAAATTTGACCAACCTGCCCTCCCATTATGATGGAGGTGTGGCCAGGCCAAAGCTGAGCAGCGTTGTGACCCCGTGTGTCAGGTCACAGCACCTGGAGTAGGGAGCTGGGCCCAACCCCATGGGGCAGGAGCTGCCGCTGCAGGCTGAGTTTCATTTTATGTCCATTTAATGTTCATTTTTGTTTTATTTCTTTATTTTGCATTTGCGAAATACATAGGGCTCTAATTATAATTACTGCTTTTGTCCATTACATTCTGTGAAAAATAAAAGGAATTTTATGTATTAGTTTTTGGGAATCAGATGTTGTTCACTCTGACTAGGGTTGTTAGCAGTCCAGGGCCGGCTCCAGGGTTTTGGCCGACCCAAGCAGCCAAAAAAAAAAAAAAAAAGCCGCAATCGCAATCCGCGGCGGCACTTCGGCGGGAGGTCCTTCGCTCCGAGCGGGAGTGAGGGACCGTCCGCCGAATTGCCGCCGAATAGCTGGACCTGCCGCACCTCTCCGGAGTGTCCGCCACAAGCACCTACTTGCCAAGCTGGTGCCTGGAGCCGGCCCTGCAGCAGTCCCATATTACAAGGTACTTCCCTAATTTAAATAGAAAATTGCCTGTCCCATACTAAATCAGTATGGAACACTTTTTATCCCATATTTCAACAACAGTGCGACAGTACTCATGGGGACATCTTTCCACTTTCCTCCCTGGCCCTTCAGTGCTGCGTGGGGAAAGCAGATGGGGCCATGCTCAAGGGCCAGGATTGGGAGGGGAGTGGAAAGATGCACCCATGAGTACTGCTCTCCTCCCCCCCACCCAACATCCCCAACAGGGTGCACAGCACTGTAGCAGTCAAAGACAAGCAATTGTAGCCTCCAACTCGGCTCCTGGCACCCAAGCAGAACCTGAACAGGAATCGCAGCAGCTGCTGGCTCAGCACCTGAGGCCCTGGGTTCTCTGCTGTATCCAGAGCTGGAGAGAGAGAAACCCCAGGAAGCATGGGGGTGGAGGGAAAGGAACTTGTCCCCAGAGGTTCAAGTCAAGATTGGGGACATCTGAAGTTTGTCCTGTATTTTTAAATACAATATTGGAAACCCTAACTCTGACTGATTGTCATGGCCATTACAACTGGGATGCTCTCTATTATTTGGAACTGAGCTGCACAAGCTCCAGAAGGTCTCTGATACTGGCAAATCCAAGGGAAGTCCTAAATGGACAAAAGAGGAATCTGGGGGAAGATAGCTAAGAAATGTGATTTATCTAAGTACTCTATTTCCCTCCAGTCCCCTAGGACTGAACTGGGAAAAAAACAATCGTGGTACTAAGCTCTGCCCACATACTAAGGGTACGTCTGTACTTACCTCCGGGTCCGGCGGTAAGCAATCGATCTTCTGGGATCGATCCCGGAAGTGCTCGCCGTTGACGCCGGTACTCCTGCTCCGTGAGAGGAGTACACGGAGTCGACGGGGGAGCCTGCCTGCCGCGTGTGGACCCGCGGTAAGTTCGAACTAAGATACTTCGACTTCATCTACGTTATTCACGTAGCTGAAGTTGCGTATCTTAGTTCGAAGTGGGGGGTTAGTGTGGACCAGCCCTAAGCTTCACTCTGTCATGGCACCAACAGGAGATACTATTCTCAATAGATTGTGCAGCTCTTCCTGACATGATGCTTTCTCTTTCTTGTCCTGTATGTCAAATGTTGACATTTTAATTGTTTTAATTAGGCTTTGGAGTTAACACTCCGTTTAGATGAAGTGGAACAGTTCACACTGCTCAGAGATATTTTTTTCTGACTGTCTGCAGACTCAAGGAGATGTCACTGCATCAGTTTACACTCAGTTCCCATTTAGAAGATTCTTTGCAACCATAAAGGCTAGAGATTTAATTTTTAAAATTAAGGCTTCGATTCTGTAGCCAACGATGGCAACTAATATGAAGTATCAGCATACCTTAGTTGAGGTTCTGTTTTCCGCTCTGCTATCTGTAGAAGTGTATTGTGGTTTTAGGATGGGGATATAGGGAGGCATAGAGGTGGCATGACATTCCTGTAGCCTACCAATCATGGAGCTAATTTTAACTGGATGGAATCTTTTGAGTTGGCAGGTCCCTCTTAACAGCATTGTGTTTTTTCTTTCAAAGAGCTTTTAGTAAGATAGTATACCAAGACTTTAGTTGAGGTCATTGTTTTCATAGAGAGGAATGTAGAGATGTAATGTTGGATTAATTTTTGACTGCAGGTAAAAGCATATGTTTGGCGGCCCCTTTTTCAGATGTGTTATATGAGAATAATTATTTAACAGGTTTTCAAAATATTTCTTGTGATCAATATAAACATCTCATATTGAATCTTCCACATCAAGTGTCTGCCTCAGGCTGAATTTATTTATTTATGTTTTTAAAAAATCAGAATCAGATCAGCCATTTCTGAGAACGAGAACAAGGAAAAATACATCGTTTGCCCTTGTTGAAAAAAATCTTACAATTATTTAATTGAGAAGCTCTAGCAACTCCATGCTTTGGAGCAGGGACTTGAAATTTGGCAGGAGAGTTGTCTTTGTATCAGAAATATGCCTTTTGCTGCTCCTGTGAAAATCAACCTGATTTTGGCCAAATTATAAGCCTCTGAAAAAATCATAGTTCACACATTCTTAATAGAGACTTGTTAGAGTTTGGCGGCTAAATTCTCTGAAGATTCCATGGCTTAGGGGATGAGGAGGACTTTCTCTGCAGTTGCTCCTTCTGGCTGCCAGGGGCCGCTGTGTTCTGAGGATCTGAGAGCAGGGAGACTATTTCCATGTGCTCTCAATTTCCTGTGGAAAACATAGTATATAACCGTGTAGTTAAATATTGTATCATAATGCATACGCACAAGAGAGCTGAATTAAGATTGGATGGGCAACCTTAATTCTGGCATTTCCTAACTTTTGAGTCCTTGACTTTACAAGCTTATCATTCTTTTAACATAATTTTTTAATGTAGTATGGGACATGAATCATCATGCCTCAGGACATAAGCCAGCCAGTAAGTGATAGGGGGCTGAAAACAACTTTTCTGATGAGTAAGTTATTCCATAATTGTCTTCTGCCTGGTTTCTTGGACTTTCCACTGAATCATCTTGTACTGGCCATTGTCAGGGACAGGACACTGAGGTAGATGGACTGCTGGTCTGATCTAGGAAATTCCAACCATTAATCTTTAACTCTAATATTAAGTCTATCTTTTATTTTAGGTGAATGTAAAAATTTGCAAGATTTGAATGTCTCTGAATGCCAAGGATTAAATGTAAGTTATGGGAAAGGTTCATGGTTTACTATGTGTTTAAAGTTGGCAAGAAATTCCAAGCCATTTTGTAGCATCCAAATATTTACTTACAACTATGCTTTCTAATAATTTACTGGATAATGCATGTGGATATTTTTTGTAATTTTTTTGCCTAAACTGACAAGATAATTACAATTAATATTCTTCAAAATTAAGTAATCCTGAATAGATACTCTCTCCAAGATTCTTATTTCATTATTTCATGGAGTTGGAAGTGTCCTCTTAAAGTTTCTAAACATTTCTGGAACCCTCCAGTGGAAAGGTGATGACAGATGACTAGCGAGGAGTGGAAAGACAGATGACTAGGGAGAAGTATAAAAATATTGCTAGAGCATGCAGGGGTGTAATCAGGAAGGCCAAGGCACGATTGGAGTTGCAGTTAGCAAGGGATGTGAAGGGTGTAACAAGAAGGGTTTCTATGGGTATGTTAGCAACAAGAAGAAGGTCAGGGAAAGTGTGGGACCCTTACTGAATGGGGGAGGCAACATAGTGACAGATGATGTGGAAAAAGCTGAAGTACTCAATGCTTTTTTTGCCTCAGTCTTCAAAGATAAGGTCAGCTCCCAGACTGCTGCACTGGGCAACACAGTATGGGGAGGAGGTGAGCAGCCCTCAGTGGTTAAAGAACAGGTTAAGGACTATTTAGAAAAGCTGGACATGCACAAGTCCATGGGTCCAGATCTAATGCATCCGAGAGTGCTGAGGTAGTTGGCTGATGTGATTGCAGAGCCATGGGCCATTATCTCTGAAAATTCGACCTCCAATCGTCCGGGGAGGTCCCAGACGATTCGAAAAAGGCAAATATAGTGCTCATATTTAAAAAAGGGAAGAAAGGGAACCTGGGGAATTACAGACCGGTCAGCCTCACTTCAGTCCCCGGCAAAATCATGGAGCAGGTCCTCAAGGAATCCATTTTGAAGCACTGGGAGGAGAGGAAGGTGATCAGGAACAGTCAACATGGATTCACTAAGGGCAAGTCATGCCTGACCAACCTGATTGCCTTCTATGATGAGACGTATTATTCAGCAAGTTAAATAAGTATGGATTGGATGAATGGACTATACAGTGGATAGAAAACTGGCTAGATTGTCGGGCTCAACGGGTAGTGATCAACGGCTTGATGTCTAGTTGGCAGCCAGTATCAAGCGGAGAGCCCTAGGGGTGGGTCCTGGGGCCGGTTTTGTTCAACATCTTTATTAATGATCTGGATGATGGGATGAATTGCACCCTCAGCAAGTTCGCAGATGACACTAAGCTGGGGGGAGAGATAGATATGCTGGAGGGTAGGGATAGGGTCCAGAGTGACCTAGACAAATTGGAGGATTGGGCCAAAAGAAATGTGATGAGGTTCAACACAGACAAGTGCAGAGTCCTGCACTTAGGAAGGAAGAATCTCATGTACCGCTACAGGCTGGGGACTGACTGGCTAAGCAGCAGTTCTGCAGAAAAGGACCTGGGGATTACAGTGGACGAGAAGCTGGATATGAGTCAGCAGTGTGCCCTTGTTGCCAAGAAGGCCAACAGCATATTGGGCTGTATTAGTAGGAGCATTGTCAGCAGATTGAGGGAAGTGATTATTCTCCTCTATTCGGCACTGGTGAGGCCACACCTAGAGTATTGTGTCCTGTTTTGGTCCCCCACTACAGAAGGGTTGTGGACAAATTGGAGAGAGTCCAGCAGAGGGCAACGGAAATTATCAGGGGGCTGGGGCACATGACTTACAAGGAGAGGCTGAGGGAACTGGGCTTATTTAGTGTACAGAAGAGAAGAGTGAGGGGGGATTTGATAGCAGCCTTCAACTACCTGAAGGGGGGTTCCAAAGAGGATGGAGCTAGGCTGTTCTCAGTAGTGGCAGATGACAGAACAAGAAGCAATGGTCTCAAGTTGCAGTGCGGGAGGTCTAGGTTGCATATTAGGAAACACTATTCCACTAGGAGCGGGGTGAAGCACTGGAATGGGTTACCTAGAGAGGTGGTGGAATCTCCATCCTTAGAGGTTTTTAAGGCCCGGCTTGACAAAGCCCTGGCTGGGATGATTTAGTTGGTGTTGGTCCTGCTTTGAGCAGGGGATTGGACTGGATGAACTCCTAAGGTCTCTTCCAACCCTAATATTCTATGATTCTATGAAAGGTGTGTGTATTATATCAACACTACATAGCCTCCAAGCAATCCCTTCTTTTTCCTGTTGTCTGGAGGAGAAGCATTCCTTGTGGTTCATGGGAAATACATTTTGTCTTTTAGTTTTCCTAAATCATTTTCAAATCTAATTGGCTCATGTTAGATGTTTTCAGTACCCCCTTTCTGATGAAAAATACTTTCTGCATAAGGTTGAGTTTGAAACAAGATTATTTTTATGCCAGTTTGTATTTTCTTATCTTGAAAACAAGGCCAATATTTTCTGTATATTGCATAGTTTATTAATACTGTATTAAACGGATATTATAGTATGTGTAGGAGAAGTTTTCTTAAAGTACTTCATTTGCATTGGATAAAGTAATCTGTGGGCCACATCATCCACAGATGGTGTGAATTGGTATAGCTCAGTTGACTTCCATGGAACTATACCTGTGTACAGCAGCTGAGGATCTGGTCTTATTTGTAAACAAGAACCACTTAGAAGTGATCTGATTGCAATAAATATCCTTCACTGATCATCACCATCGGTGCAATGTCTGTCATTGAAAAGGTCCTATTCTTCTATCAATAATCTTAATTTATAGAATTAAATATGAGCTCTTGCAATTTAATCCCTCGATTCTTAATTTTATAAGATGTTAATTTTGTATATTCTTCCAAAATTCCTCTCTGACATGATATGAGAAGTCTATCATAACCATCTTACTGACCTGCCAGTCTCTTCCTCCTGCTTTCAAGAATATCCTTCAGAAGTCTTGTTACACTAACTGGTTGGAGCATAAAAATATCACTTATGTTTAGTTTCCTGTGACAGTAGCATATCTGGTCATGCTGCATGTAAGAGAATCATGCTGACACTATTATCTTTAATATACAATTACACATTCAGGTCCTTACCTAACCTGACATCTTGTCCGATTGAATTATCTTTCTGGTTTTGCAATATTAGACTCAGGAGAAGGGATTTTATGCAGGATTATTTACCTTTGGAAAACTAGTATGAAATGTATAATTGGTGTTCTTCAAAAGGAGCAGCCTAGTGGTAAAAACATTTTAGTTCCATGTTTACTCACCTACCTGTTTTCTCTCAAGAGGTCTGTTTTTACTGTGGTTATAAAGTTAGAGTACCTCCTGATGGCTAAGATCAAAAGCATCAGATATTTTGTAATGAACAAGTAATATTTATACTTTATGAGAAATCCTGACTCCAACAAGGAGAAATTTCTGGAAACTTTGAGAAAGTACTTACTCTTGAGTTCATGCATATGAAACATATTAGTGTGAATCTATGAGGTATAATACCTTGAGAGAACAATGAAAATTACTTTTTTTTGGTTTCAGGGTTTAAAATTTCTTTAGCTCTGATTTTACCTTTTTTTAAAGACATGAGCTGTAAAGATGTTTACTTTTATATTTTTACTCTTTAATAGTTTTTGAAAAGATTACCACTGAAAAATGAGGATCTGAGAATGGTGAAAACCAGTGTAGTCTAGTAGTTCAGATATGCGCACACTACTATCGTTACCTCTCAGCTGCATTAAGACATACTTTGAGATGGAAGAGCAAATATTCATTTTATTCTAGCTATTTCTTAAGAGAGCTGAATAGCAGAGACATAAATAGAATAATAAAACAATAAGATCAATGAAGGAATATTCAGCTAATTGAACCGCTTGATTACACTTGATAACATTCCTAGCCGTCTAATATTGAATCTAGTAGTGGAACAGTCTGTGGCTGGACTGTTGTTGTTACCATTTTTCAAATTATATGGTGTAATCATGTATTTTAAAAGCACGTGATTTTTACAGACTTCTCTCACTTTGACTGTTGTTGGATTTAAATGTCAATTAATATCAATATTTTGATAGCCTGGTGTCTGCAATAGTTATAAAACACTCTTTAACATCCCTAGCAGGAGACTGTCATGACAATGTAAGAACTAACGATGTGAGTGAGCATGTCCATTGCATTTGACTAAGGAAATGGACATTTGTAACCAAAAATGGTCAGCTCCTCAGCTGGTGTGAATTGGTATAGCTCCTTTGAAGTTAGTTGAGTTAGGCCAATTTACACCAGGTGAGGATCTGGGCAAAAATGTATATAAGTTACTGATTTCCACACAGTTATTTGATTTGCATTCACAAGTGCGGGTTTTTGCATCTCTAATGGATTCACATATACTTTTTGGGGAACAGCCCCTTGCACCAGTGTTTCAAGATTTGCCTCCGTATGTCTGTATTCTAATGTAGTGATCATATTGATACATAGAAAAAGATAGATGGTGCCACTTCCAAAGAATATTAAAGAAAGGAACTGACTCAAATTAAAAAGAAATGTGGACAGTGAGCATTCTATAATTGATGGACTGGTATGAATAGTTAATAAAGCACACTCCCTGGATTTTAGAGAGTTGACTTAAGTTATTGTCTAGAGACCTGCTAACTTAGGTCTTGATTCAGCAAAGCACTTAAGCATGTGAATAGTCCCATTGACTTCATTAGGACTACTTGGTTCTTAGGTGCCTTCCTGAATTGGGGGCATAGAAATAGTCATGTTTACAATCAACAAAAATAGTTCCGTAAACATTATAATATAGTATTCTCTTTATTGCATTTTAAAGAGAAAATGTTTTTGATCGGTACTGTTGCATTTAATACTTTTACGAAATTAATTCAGTTTTTCTGCTACAGTATAGAAGAGACTTTAGATACACTAAAATACAAACAAATTCTAATTTGACATACTTTGACAAGTGATTTTTTTATTATTATTCAGGATGAATCAATGAGACTTATATCAGAAGGTTGTCCAGCTCTTCTCTATTTAAATCTGTCATACACAGATATTACTAATGGGACACTAAGACTGTTATCAAGGTAAAAATATCTCCTTCTACATTTAGATTAGTACGAAACAAAAGTCGTATGTACTCTACAAAAATATGAGTTTTAGTTATCATTGCAAGAAAATATAACTTTCTCTGAGTATTTTACAGGTTTCCTTTTATTTTGTAAAGAACTGAAAAATGCCATATATATTGTTCTGAGGATTTTTCTCTTTTGTTTGTCTTTTAGTGTAGTAAAACATTTACACTGGGTTAGTTTATAGGTCTTGCTAAGTTTTACAGAAACGTGTGAGTTTGCTAGTCAAACAAAGTTCCTGTGGACAAACAACACAATTGCTCATTATTGTGCAACTGGCTTGCAAGTTTGAGATGATTATGTAAATCTAGGGTGACCAGACGTCCTGTTTTTAAAGGAACAGTGCCGTATTTAAGCCCTCCTGCAGGTGTCCCAGCTTTTTCTTAAAAATGGGCAAATTGTCCCGTATTTTCTGTCTCCCCTGCATCAGTACTGGCAGGTCCTGCTGCTGACCGGATCCGTGCTCGCCAGCTGCCTGCCCACCAGCAGTGAGTGGGGGGGGGTCCAGTGGCTGACAATGGGGGTGGATGTGCAAGGCTTGTGGCGGGGTGAAGATGCAGCGTGTGGGGCTGGCCGTTCCCTGTGCTGGTGCATCAGCGCAGCCCCCGCTGTGTGCTGGCTCTCAGCCAGCAGGGCCCCGCCCCCCGTCCCGTTTCCGACCAGCACTGGCTGCGCGTTGTGAGCTGTGGAGGCCGGTGTGTACAGGCAGGCGCCAGTCAGTGGCCAGTTACGTGTCACCTCTGCTGCCCACCCATCGGCTCTTTATGTGCTCCCCCTCTCGCTGTCCTCTCCCTGCTTTGCCCCTTCACCCCGTCCCCCCAGCCCTACTGCTCCTTCATATCTCCCCCAGCAGGGCGCGTCCCACTCACAGCGCTGGGCGGAGAACCAGCCCCTGGTCGGAGTGCTCAGCTCACCCTCCACCTGGGTGACAGGCTTCTTCCTTCCCTCACTGCCTCTGGCTGGGCCGGCACCCTAGGAAAGGCCAAGACCCTTCGGCCTGGGGCGCTGGGCGGGAGGAGCCGAGTCCGGCTTGTGCCAAAGCCCCGCACAGCGCTGGCACGGGGAAGCCTCTCTGCCCCTCAGCTAAGCTCTGGGGTTGTGGTGGTGGGGAAGCGATTTCCAGCCAGTTTGCATCCCAACCCTGCAGGCTCCAAAGCAGCCCCTCCCCGGGCAGGGACTTAGCACCCTCTTCACCCGCCCACCCCCCCGGGTCCTGCCCCCAGGGAGCGTGGGGCTGCTCCGTCCCCTAGGTACCCTCCCCTGCTGAGCCACCTCTCTGTCCGGGTTTGCTGAAGCCCCTGCAGTCAGGTTCCCTGGGCACAATGCATCCTTAGAGCTTAACCCCTTCCTGCCTGCGTTGTAGCCAGGGGACAGGAGGCGGCTGGGTTATGTCAGTGGCCAGCAACAGCCTGGAGGTGATAGCTGCCTTTCGACACTGTGTGGGCAGGAAAGGACAAGCTGCTTCCAGCCACTGGGGAGTAGTGGAGAAGAGATGAGCTCTGCAAAGATATGCGCCAGGTCATCCCTTCAACACCCCACCCCACCCCCGCGACTGGAAGCAGCTCCCATCCCTTCCCTCCTGCACACTGCAAAAGGCTGCTGCAAGCCACATTCTGGTGTGAACCCTGACAGAAATCTGGGGAGGGGGGCATGTGAGCCTGCATGCTCCTCTACGTGTTGCCTCGGGAAGATGCAGCGCCAGGTACCAGGAGAGGTGGGTCCATCCTGGGGGCCCAGCCAGGCATGGAGGGCAGAGAGCACCGGGCAGGGACGGTCGGGTCGGTCGGTCTCTCTGTGTGACAGAGGTGTACAGGAGTGTATGTATGTGTGTGTCACCGCTCCCCGTCTGAATCCTAAAACCTTAAAGATAAGAAGATAAATAAAAATAATTCAGCTACACAGTATTTCTTTTTAACAGGAGCTCAGTCAACTTGATGTTAATTTTAACATTTGTACTGCATCGGTCTGATGAATTTCTGTTGAACTTGCTTGAATATGAGTAATTTTACCAGGTATCCCGTATTCAGCATAGGGAAATATGGTCACCCTATGTAGATCACTAATCAGAAAAGCAGCAACTTTCTGGTTTATAAAGTACAATAAGCCTTTGCTTTCTTTGGATGGAGAGGAAAACTCACAAACAAAGGGTACATGTGCAGTTTTGAGCTAAAGTATAAGGAGTTACCATCCTGATTTGTGCTTTGCATTCTAGTAACTGGTAAAGCTGCCGACAGTGTATGAAAGAGGAATTTGTCAGTATGCCGCGTGGGGTCGGGTTTTTTTACCCATCTCAGTGGCTTAGTGGTGATAAACTGCAATGGCAAGTAGAAGAACAAAGTTTAAGCTTTCATCTTGGACTGTCACCTCCCAGGCCAAATGTGAATGCATTAGAAGCACACCTCCTGAAAAAAGGCACTCAGCCCTTCATGTAGCATATCACTGGCCACTTTGGATGATTATGATATTGACAGGTTCTGAAAGCAGCCCCGTCACTTCAGCAGGAAGGTTAATGGCTGTGATGTAAGGTTTTGGGTGTCTGGATTTAAGAGGGGGTGATTATCTACTCTGGATATATATGACGGACTCCTGGAGAGAAGAAGGAACTATAAGTGAGTTTATTATACTGACTACCATTTCCTTTATAATTATCTATTGACTGAGGAGAGATTTTTTTTTGTACAGATTTTTTGGGGGTAAAGTTTCAGATACCTCAGTAGCATTGTAGTCTAGTGTTGATAGTTATAATTTGGCAGAGGACTAATATTTAGTTTAGATGTGTTCTGTATGCATAGCTATTGAGTGAGATGTATTCAGAATTGTTGGATAGTGATTTTTAAAAAGTAGATAGACAGTCAAGCAATGTTGTGATTATATGTCCTGCCTACTCTACCAAGTTCCTGTTTTGTCCCTTATTTCCTCAAAACGGTCAGTAAGGCATGGCTTTGCTTGAAGCTATCCGTTTTGACTTTCTTTATGGCATAGTAGTGGGTTTAAAGAAGTTCAGAGGGAGTTTTTTTTTAGATTGTGACTTGAATCCAGCAAAGTGTGCAAATTCCCATTGATCTCTTGAGCGTACTCTGGGTCTCGTTAGTCTACAATAGTCATGCAGGCACATGTAGAAATAAGGCACTTTGTCTGAGATGTGGCAAAACAATATGCAAAAAACCACAGAGAATTGTGTATTTAAAGCAGCCATATTTCCTGAACCAAATATTTCTTGGAGAACTACAAAAAAAAAAAAAAAAAAAAGCTGCCCAAAGGATGGTTTGAAAGCAAATGCAAAGAATTCACACTATCCAGGTGAACTGTGATGTAATAGTTATAGATAAACATCCATTCCTGTTGTGGGAGATGTGTGTTCATCCACCAAACTGGAGGGCTGGAGGACCTACTGCTGGGTAGGTCCAGTCCACTTATCAAAAGAAGCAGTAGAAGAAAGCTGAGTTATTCCAACAGAGCTGTCTCCTTCTTCGATGGTAGTTGTGCACTACTTCGCTCCCCCTTGAGAAAACAAAATTTGACTTTTCACAGCAGCTCCACATATTCCTGGAGTGTGTTTTTCTCTGTTTGCAAGTATATTTTGGACTTTTGGATTTGTAGAGTGATGTCTTGGGAATGTATCAATCCAGTGGCAGATTCTAGTCCTGCTGCAGGCAGCCTTCCACCCTGCATCTCTGCACCAGTTTTATTCTTTCTATCATCTATGGAAAAGCCTATGTTTTTTTCTCTGTATTGGCATAATTTTTGCCTTCTTCTAGTTTCAATTTCTTCATGTTTAAATTTGGAATGTTTTTTTCTGGAGTGCCTGCCAGCCTATGTTATCCCAACTACCCCAGCTTCCTGTTACCACCAAGAAATTAGAGCCAGCTGCTTCTGTTAATGTGTGGGCAAGACTTACCCAGGAGTGGGTCAACCAGATTGGTGGATGTCTCCAATATGAGAAACAAAATTTACAAATAAGGTAAAATTTCCTCTTTGTTCGAGTCAATAAAATACTAGCGTTTCATTAACGGATTTCTCTTGCCTTGTTTACAGCGTTTTTTCCTAAAATGTGTGAAAAATGTCAGTAGCTAATGATAATTCTGAATGAAAACTGCCAAATGCAGCACTTTTTTGATGAAGATATGTGGACGTAAAGCAATACTATAGTTCTTTCTGAGATTAACAGCATGAGGCTTTTGATAGCACTCAACTTTCAGCAGTGTTTCTAGGGATGCTCAAAAAGTGGCAGCTCACAACAGATACTTTCTTTGTAGTTCTCTGAGACAATGTAGCTAACATAAACGCTTTTAGCGATGAAATATATGCATCTTGCAATGCTTTCCATACATCTTACTGCTCCATATCAAGGATCCATTATTGGAAAAACCATCAAAAGGAACTGGATTCTTAATGAGCTGGAAACTGGTTGGCCATTTCACATGTTCCTCTTCCACTCTTTCATTCTATCAAGAGAATTCAGCCTCTGAGTTACACAGCTGATTTAAGATGTTGTGACAAGATGGAATTCTGCTTTGTATTTCTCCTCCAATGAAGTTATGTTACAGACCTTACAATATACATGAAGCCTGTCTATCCAGAATAACTATGGAAGATTATTCTGGCAGATTGTTTTAAAACATCACTATGTTAAGTTCTTGATGCCAAATGTTAGACTCAAAGTCACAAAAGCCAAGATTTTAGGTTCCATGTCAGATTCAGCCATAAAATAGGATCCAGCACATGGGCAACTGTAAATCCCTGCTCTAAGTTAAAGATCTGCGATTTAGTTTTGTGTTACTGAGAATGGTGTCACCTTGAAAATGTCAGAAGAAAGCAGGAAACACACAGATCATAAAAATAGAGGGCAGAGAAAGAGTTACATAGCAATCTGTAAAGAAAGTTAGGGTGCCTACAAGAAGTGTTGAGCTGCTACCTGCTAGTAGAAGATATTGATTCCCAGTCTTCAATAAAATGGAGCGGAAGCTTTCTCTGTATCTGTCTGAGCTCATTCTGCCTTGGGCAACCAACACTATAGTATCAGAGGGGTAGCCGTGTTAGTCTGGTTCTGTAAAAAGCAACAGAGAGTCCTGTGGCACCTTTAAGACTAACAGATGTATTGGAGCATAAGCTTTCACTTCGTCAGAATACATCTGTTAGTCTTAAAGGTGCCACAGGACTCTCTGTTGCAACACTATAGATGGATCGAAGCAAAACTGTCAGAAAACTTCAAAAACATTCTCTTATTGCAGTGTGTTTCGTAGAGACTATGCCTAGAGGTGTATCCTCTGAAAAGCTGATCAACAATGCTGAGCATATCTACTCTACTTGCTGATGCAGATTACTCCAATATAATGCAGAAAGGCTTGTGCTTCTAGAAAGTAACTTGGCAGTGCTTACATTTCTTTATTAAATATAGAAAGAAACATCTTCCATTTAAAAAGATCCCTGAATTTATTTTCTATTGTCTCTGTTTGATTGTTTTATTTGCCTTTTTTCTTAATATGAAATTTAATTTTAGCATGTATTTAATGTTTTGAGCAATTACATTATCATTTTTCCTGTTGCTTTCCAACTTCCTATCCCCCTTTTTTCTTCCCAGTTTGATTTAACAGTATGTCTTCTCAATATACATTCAAAGCATAAAGTGAATTCCCGCAACAATGCTGTGAATCACTCCTTAAGTAATCACTTCCAGAGTGGGTATTCCTGCCTCTCTTCAAAATGCCTAGTTTTTGCTGACTTGCAAAACTGGCCTGAGTATATCCCTAAATCTAAATCTCTTACAGAGCAGTATGCCCTAATGCTAATTATATGTTTTGATTTTTTCTGTAAGCTTTCATTTCTGGTAATTATGGTATTGCAATACTTGTTTATTTCAGTTAGAGATTTAGTTCAGTATAATTTAGAGTCTTGGATATATTATATGCCTAAGTTTGCATAATAAAAACTTGAATAGATTTAGAGAGTACAAATTCATACAATACACTTACAATTTTCCATGTACATAGTTTGCCACTGTTCCTTTATCTAATATTTGGTGTAAATAATCAAGTATTTTCTAAAAATAACTGATTTAAACATCATTTAGAGAAGACTGAATTCTTTGGTATGTGTGTGCATTAGTTTTGTATCTCTTTCCACTTTAAATTTGTTTTAATAGCATGCTTTTAAAATGTTAATGGAAACAATTACATGACCACAGAAGGTTTAACAGTATGTTTAATCCCTGTATGCTTTTAAAATCCTTTGATAGAGTTCTGGTTTTCATTTCCAACAGACACAGCTTGTACAATCAATGGCAAAGTAAATCCTGTAACCTTGCCCTCAAAGGTCTATTGGCTTCCAAAATATACACATTCACTCCCAACTTCTTACAAAAATGTGTGCTTTTGCAATTAAATAAATTATCCATAAATTAATATTTATTTGAATATAGTTAAGGATGATATGATATACTGTACCATAGTACTGTTTCCAAACAAGTTACAATACTTGAAACAAGGAAAACTAAATTCTTTTTAATTTCAACAAGGAAAGAATCTCAGTTAAAATCTAGCATCCCTTCTTCACAGAATTTTTAGAAAGATGTTAGCGATGGAATCTGATTGCATCTGTGTTCTGTAGCCTACTGTTGTAGTAACTGTTTTTTCTCCCTCTTTTGTAAAGGAGCTTCTCCAATTTACAATATCTGAGTTTAGCTTACTGCAGAAAATTCACAGACAAAGGTTTACAGTACCTGGGATCTGGGAAAGGATGTCACAAGCTCATCTATTTAGACCTTTCAGGTTGCATTCAGGTTTGCATTTCATTTCTCTTTCATGCTGTGAGGAAAGGAATCCTTTCGATGACTGGCTGCATCCAGCACTCATGGTATACTAAAGTAGTACAAGCACTGCAGCAAACTTTTCAGAGGTTTTAAATTACATGACCACAGCTGCTTACATTTTTACTGAGGACTAGCACTATAGGCTTTGGCTCATGTCCAGCATAGTGTCATGTCTATAAACAAAAAGTACTTAATTGCATAATAAAAACAAGCATTATTTTTTGCAGACTTAAAATAGACTAATTTTGTGTTGTGTTACTATGTATACAATGTGAAATTTAAAATCCAGAGCCTTGAAAATACAGTTTATACCCAGATATCAACAAACAAAAATCTTTATGGGAGAGCTTGCACCGAATTTCCTGAAAAGGAAATCAATCTACCAGTGAGCTTTCTAATACTACTACAAAGTAAGTTTCAAATGAAAACTAAAATAATGTGTAATTCTGCAATCTAAAAATGGCGAATAACTTGGGGAGTTTATTTTATTTTCCTACTAAAATGTTTAGTACTAAGTGCTGAGTATTTCGAAGACTTTCAAATATATGCTATATCCTGATGTATCTTTTCTTAAAGCACTGTAAAATGCTAGACTATGGAGCAGTAATATACCGCCAATATTTTAACAAAGAGCCTCCACATAAATTCTCCCCTATATGATATGTTTGCCTCCTCTTTCCTTCATGGCTCGATATTTTAATAGAACCATTCTATCTATCCATCTGCATACTTAAATTGCCGTCATCACTGTAGCATCTAAGAAATAATGTGCTTGTGAATTGGGATTATGATCCCCATTTTACAAATGGAGAACTAAGGGACAGAAAGTAACTTGTCCAAGGTTACACAGGATGCTTATGCCAGGAATTGAACCCACATCTTCCAGTCTACTGCCATAACAACCAGACTGACTGTTCTCTCATTAGGCCTAGCTTTAAGGCAAGACAGTAATGTAAAAGGAATTATAGGCTGGGAAAAATTAATTAAAAAGGTAGGTATGGAGATGATATACCTTGAAGCAGTAGGCATTATTAAAAAAAGTTAGATTTAGAAAATGTAAAATTTTTACATTGAATCAGAATTAATACCCATATCAAAATATTGCTATAGATTGTATTTATCAGATTGAAACTTTTAATGTGTCAAAGACCATAGACCCTGATCCAGCAATGCATTTTAAATTTCCACACGCTGCTCTCACCCTCGGGCACCACCACCCCAGCTCCCACGGGCCGCATTTCCCAGCCAATGGGAGTGCAGAGCCAGTGCTCAGGGCGGGGGCAACACGCGGATCCTCCTGGCCCCTCCCTGCCTAGTATCCGGACCTGCTGCCCACTTCCGGGGTGCAGCACGGTGCCAGGACAGGTAGGGACAAGCTTGCCTTAGACCCGCAGCACCGCTGACCGGACTTTTAATGGCCTGGTCGGCGGTGCTGACCAGAGCCACCAGGGTCCATTTTCGACTGGGTGTTCCGGTCGAAAACCGGACGCCTGGCAACCCTAATCAAAGGCACTATGAAAACTTGGAAAGCACTTTCTGAAGAACTAATTAACTCATTTCTTCTTGGGAATACCACAACTAGGGATAATTCCAGGATTACTTTAAAAAGAATGGTGTACATTTTTTATTTCTGCACCTATATATTCCCTTCTCTGAAAGCATCTACTCACCTTAACTTCATCCAAATTAATACCAAAAGTAATAATTTAACAATTCCAGGTTTTATCTACGCTCAGGGTTCCTATAGAAACTATTTATTGGCTTGCCTCCACCTTCCTTAACATTTTAGGGCAAACTGTGGAGTAACTCAGTATCTTTAGAACTGCAGGGCAGTCTAAACAACAGGTTTGAAATACATAGGTTCCAAATCTGAAGGGATAAATTCCTCTCACTCACAACTGTTATCTGATTATGGGATAAAAGATGGAGCAGAAGTTTACTTTTAGGGACATTTGAATTGAATCTGTGGACTGCGCTTTGGTATACTTTGTACTTGCGAACTGTGGTGGTGTTGGTGAATCCCTGAAAGTGGAATCCTGGAGAAGGGTAGGAGGAGGCGGAAGACCAGCTTTTCTCTACCTCCCCTAGGGTAGCTGGAAAGTCATATTTCTATGAGGATTTGGGGTTTTTTTGCTTAAGAAAACAGGAGTGCTAACTACCTTCCCTATGTGAGCATGTCTGAGTATGGAGTGTTCTCTCTTTCTTCTCCTCATCTGGAGGCGTAAATAGGCCTTCTCATTTGCAGTGTAAAATGGGCCTCCTGAGGTTAGTGTGAGGTGGTCCTGCTATATGTGGCATCAACCCAAATGTGTATTATGTTTAATCTGAGAAGAGATCTTTTTGATACAGACCTAAATGAAGACATAACAGATTAGACATATTGGAGATTGTGGTTTGTTTTTAGGAGAAACTGCAAGTGGATTGCTATTATACTATAAGAAAATTTGGTGAGGGGACAGTAGAATTCTATATAAAGCCTGCTCTCTTAGAAAAAATGTGAAGGTTGTGGCTGTAGACCTCAGATACTCCAGGATTATGAATTGAGGAAGGGGGCTTGGATATTTTGCTAAATAGTTAATTACAGAATACCGCTTGTTTTTCTCTAAGCAAGAATAAAATGTACAGTAGTTTTTTAATGTTACTGATGAACTAGAGACTCTTTATTTGATCCATTCACATAGTCCCTGACTCCCTTCTAAAGTGGGTTGTAGCCCACGAAAGCTTATGCTCTAATAAATTTGTTAGTCTCTAAGGTGCCACAAGTACTCCTGTTCTTTTTTCTGGAATCCATGAAACCTGGGAAGATTTATGGAGTCCTTCATCTTTCTGAGGTAGATTAATTGAGTTCCTTGCAGTTTACTAGCTGAGTGTCTGCATGAGACCTTAAAAACTAAGGTCCTGTCTCCTCTATGTGGATCTTAAAGATTCCATGGTACTTTTAATAAAAGTATAGGGATTTTGTTGTTGTGTCCTGACTAATACTTGTCCTTTCATCCCATTGTTCTGTGTTTCCATTGACTCCCACTCTGGAGGTTCTTGTATGTATATAGTTGATAAATTGCTTTGGGATAAAAGGCTTTACATAAATATAAAATATAATTGATGTTCTTTAGAGAAAAATCTTGTCACTCAATTGAATAATAAAAGGAATGAAGTATACAAACCAACTATTCCATAGAATAAGCTTTCTTTCATTTTCAAAGTTCAAAAAGAGAGACAGTTGGGAAAGAAGCCAGAATAATATCTGCAAGTAAGGCAAATAATAGAACAGATCGTCACTAATTAATGAACTGACAGTCCCAACCAAACTTTGGTAATGGTATATGTTGCTATATTGACAAAGATAACAATCTGTAGCTTTCTCCTTATATCAGCTAATGTCCACCAAGCAAATTAAGGGAAGTGTGGAGTAAAGAGTAAAACTGCTTTGCTAACAGCAAACTGTCGAACAAGTTGTGCAGAACACCAATAGATCTACCACTGACCTAAAAGTTAAACTAATTCATTACAAAATGGCATGTACAGCATACTGGATACCTGTTAGAATGAAAAAGCAGCAGTACTGTAAATGAAAAAAAAAAATAGAGAAGAGAATGGAAATCTGTTGTACAAGACATGGAAATATCCTATAGCAAATTATTTTTGGGAGGGAATAATAAGTAGAATATGTATTGTTTCTCAATAGCTATCCAAAATAATAGAAAAATCTTTGTCAGAGGATTCTGACACTTTCATTACACTTTAACACATGACACATTAACACTTTCATAAAAATCATAGGGCAAATTCTTGCTACAGTACATTTGTTGCTTAAGAAAAGGGAGAGCCAACAGAAAGCATCCTCAATGGCTGGTAGCCTATAAAACATTTGGGGGCCTCTTGGCTATGCAGTTGTGGATTACACACCCATTCCTTAGGGATACATGCCCTTGGCAGTGTATTGTAATGCTGTTTTAGGCACTGCGTGATTGACCAAAACTACTCATGTCCCACATGCAAAATTACATATTCCATGTAGGCCAGTTGTCATATATAAAATCATGGAAAAAGCTGTCAGAAAACTCACTGAGTCTCAGGGCAACACTGGATGCATGTCTTTCCTGGCTGACTGATGATCAGTCACCCTGGGATAGTTTTGGCACAGTCCAAAGACTTCCATGTGGCTGACAGCTGTATTTTGGAGCTTAGACAGCAAGAAATGAGGAGTCCATGAAGCTAAAGATTTCTTCTCCCTGCTGCTGCCACAAACCAATTGGTGGTTTTTTGGTGGGAAGATTTTTCACTATCAGGCTCAGTATTGCAGAAATGGCAATGTACAAAAGAAATGAAAGTCATTCATTGTCATATTAGATTGATTTAGTTAAATAAGAGGCAAGAAGATTTTCAAGAAATTTGAGACCAGATTTTCTCCTGTGCCAAGATCTGGTCAGCATGTGGGGGAACGAAGGTGGCATGTCAAAGAATAGCTCATTGATTCTCAAACTGCAACTACCTTATCCACAGTGAAAGTTAAAACAGCCTGGGGGTTGTTTTAACTTATATTGGTTGGCTGTAGTTCCTAAGAAATCATACGCCAGCTGAGAATTGGTCAACATCACTCTTTCCTTCCCCAGCATGCTGTACTGTACACTGAGGTGGGGGTGAGCGTGTTGGCTTAGGAATTGGCTGCACCAGTTTTATGACCTCTATGAGTTCCCCCTCTACTACCCCCACCATTTCCACAAGGGAATTCTCAGCATGGCAGCTGCAGCTAAGAAATGCAGTATTAAATTCCAGTTACAGGCTCTTGAAGAATCTCAAACATAAGGGGGTCTATTAAAGATATTGAAATTCAAAATAAATTGACTATGCAATTGTTTTGTGATTCTTTATACAACATTTCCCACACATAGTGTTCTGTCTCTTAAGAGTGACCACCAGATGTTGGTTCTTCTGTAATAAAAAGTACCTTTTCAATATGTAGTTGGCAG